TAGCTGCGATGCAAACTCCCACACACAATCACACCGGATAATTATCCGTCAAGTTCCTTGGGAGCTGTCGTCGACTGTCAGCTCTCTAAATATTCTAAATGTCAAAAACCACATTCAACATAGAAACAGTTAAAAATGTGATGAATTGGCCAATCAAAAGGCAACACTGTGGCATGAATCACGAAAAATTGGTCAACCGCGTATCAGGCCAGTATCGACTACCACCGGAGTACTATTTGTTCCGGTTTGTTTGTTCCATATTCATTAATGTCTCCCGGCGAAATTCATCCGATTGTGGGGAGGTCAAATGCGCAAATGCGCCAAGGAGTGTTCATACGTCGATGAGTTACACTCAACATTGACGAGGCACAAGGTACATATTACTTGGTCTTTTTTCATTGTGTAAGCTTAGAGTCGTTACTTCCATGGACTTCCATGACTTCTCCATCATTTTTTCGAGTGTTATGAGCGTCTTACTACGTACTACTAGTAATCAAAAATCCGGATAACATCCGCAAAATCATATTTTATCCGGGTCCGGATAAAATATCGGCGGGAAAACTGGCTTGTCCAAATCGTGCGCGCTGGCACCAAGAAGAAGAACCTGACGTATACTCAGAGGCAACATCTACTTCTGCACCTCTTGAAGGTCTGCCTTCCGATTGGCAAGCTACCTCGAGGCACAGTTAAGTGCATGGCGACTTTGTTTGATTGTGACCCAAGGACTGTTCATCGTATTTGGACACGCGCCTCTCTTGATTGCTCCGGCGTGCAGGCCATATGTGCTGATGTATCTTCTCGAAAGAAGACAAGAAGTGGGCGAAAGATTAAATACATTAACCTTGCAGATCAGCTACACAAAGTCCCTTAAGCTCGTCGAACCACCTTTAAGTCCATCGCAGCAGCAATGGGATTGCCGCCGTCGACACTTCATGACTACTTCAAATGAGGGGTCTTCTCGAAATACTCAAGCAACATCAAACCTATATTGACTCTGGCAAACCAAGCTGCTCGACTAAAATGGGAACTTGACCATGTCCGCCACGAGAACGGTGAGCTTGTGTTCGACAACCTCATGGACTGTGTGCACATTGATGAGAAATGGTCTTTCATGACACGACTCAAGAAGGCATATTACCTCGCTCCGGGTGAAGTGCCGCCTCATCTGACGTGCAAATCAAAACGGTTCATCCAGAAAGTGACGTTCTTGTCGGCTGTTGCTCGCCCACGCTGGGATGGCACTCGTCAGTCATGGTTCGACGGCAAGATTGGAACGTGACATTTTACCGAAGTCGTGCCTGCCAAACGTACAAGCAGCAACCGTCCAGCTGGACACCCTGTCCTTCAACCTGTCAATGTGACGCGCGACGTGTACCGACGTATGCTCGTCGACAAGGTTATACCTGCGATTCGCGAGAAGTCGCCCTCAGCGCCGATGAAGTTGAAGATCCAGCAAGATAACGCCAAACCACACGTCCTCCCGAATGATGCCGAGGTGGTTGCCGCATGCAACAAGGATGGCTGGGCCATGTCCATCGTATGTCAACCGCCGTATTCACCTGACTTTAATGTCTTAGATCTTGGCTTTTTCCGCAGAATCAATCGCTACAATCGAATCATCATTCAAGGACCGTGGAAGACATTGTTGCCGCTACCATGGATGCGTGGAATGTGGTGGATCCAAGCATGTTGAGTCGGAACTTCATGACCCTACAAGCCTTCTTCCAAGAAGTCATTCGATCAGACGGAAATAACAACTACAAGATACCGCATTTGAAGAAGTCGATGCTCATGGCGCAGGGGAAGTTGCCCGAGTGTCTACCGTGCGACCGCTCTGTGTGGGCTGATGGGTGCTCCAAGCTGAGCTGCGTGGACTTTGACAACCTGATGAGTACTCTACAGGTGGAAGTGAACGCAAAATTGGACTTGGTTGAGCTATGCAACGTGATGGAGGCGCTTAACATCGACGACGAAGCCGACGATGGATTTACTGTGGACGTGATGAAAATTTTGCAGCTTTAATTGTTACGGAGCGAATTTAATGTCTTCTTTCTTGTATTGGATTTTTGTTATTTTAATTGAATGTCAAGTCGGACATTCTTTTTCGGATGGAGGTAGTACATGTAGAAGTACCCACGTGGTGACTAAAAAATCGCATCAATAGACTCCTCGATTGTACACGTACGTGTGCACCTTGGATGCTGCAGACATTGAATGTAATTAATCAAATCAATATCTAAGACATTGAAGTCTGGGCTCTTTGGTGGCTAGTTTGCGATCTTGATACATTGAATTCCCTTGGAAACAAGCATATTTCCCTATTGACAAAGCGATGGGGGCGAGCATTGTCTTGTTGAACGGCAGTAGTACCACGAAATCTTACCGGGAATTTCTCTTCAATTGCTGGTACACCTTTTTGACCCTAGCGTTGGGATAAACATAACCGTTGACACTAATCAAAAAAATATTTAAAAAAATATTATAAAAAATAATGATGTTCATTCACCATGGCGCCCTTATGGTGGTTCTTGCACGAACAGACGGCAGTCGTTTGGTCATCGATCGGATAGACATCAATTTTGCCGCCATACTCTGTCCTATTCTGCGGGTCGTAGTGTGCGCGCGCAACAGCAGCGAGGAACTTAACCTACGATACTCGTGACTGGCTTGAACGCGTCACAACTCACTTTCGTGCCTTGGTCGCTGAACTTGCAGGTAAACTGCACGCCAATTGGATAGAAACGGGTCATTATCTTGTAAAATTTCACACCGATGGAGGCCACATTTGTGCGCTTGCGCTTGTTGGAACGTACAGCCAAAGGCAGTTCTGTTGATGTGCAAAGAATTTCAATATCTTCTATTGTAGCTCAATTCTGATGCAGTCTCCAAATGATACTGTGCCATAAGGATAAGAAACACAAGATTAAACCATGCGTAACATTGCTACATTGAACCCAAATTAGCCTCTAGTAGCCTGTTTTACCTCCTTTTGCTTCCAGAACAGCAACACAGCGACGTGACATCGAGTTGATGAGGGCATCGATGGTGGTTCGGTCAATTCTTGACCAGGCGGCCTTAATCGCGTCAATCAGATCACCAATGCAGGTAAAATGTCTCCCATTAGCAGAAACAGTTCGCGCAAGGATACCCCACAAGTTCTCAATGGGATTTAAATCCGGGGAGAGAGGGGGATGGTCAAACAAGTTGACATTGTAGTCGGCCAAAAACGACATCGAGTACTTCGACGTGTGCACAGAGGCACCGTTTTGCATGAAAACGAAATTTTCGCTATAATGTTCATGTGCGAATGGAAACAAATAGTTCCAAGTGTATCAACATAGGCAGCAGAGTCTTGTGTACCGGTAAGAAAAGCGAGACTCGAAAGTCCCGCAGACGTGAAAGCCCCCCAGACCATGACACCGCCGCCTTTGTTGCGCCGGGCAAAAAACGAGTCCGCCTCTACCCGCAAGTCGTGCCAGTAATACTGGAGGCCATCTGGGCCGTCCAGATTAAATCGATTTTCATCAGACCAAGTGATCTCGGACCATTTTGGAGGATTCTCCAAGTTTCGCTTCGCATAGTCTAGGCGCGTTTTCTTATGATGTGGTATGAGCGCGGGCGAAGGTTTACGCTTGCAGTAAGCAAGCGTTTCGGTTGATTGAAGGCGTCTCTGGCAGGTACGAAGAGACGCCTCAATGTCGAGGCTCGTTTTAAGACTTCTAGCGCTTGCATCAGTCTTAGACGCCTCTCGAACCAGGAGGCGATATTCCCGGCCGAGAAGTTTGGTCGCCTTTCGTCCTTGGAATTTAGTTCCATAGGACTCTTGATTGTTGTGATACGTATGGACGGTCTTTACAGACCGTCCAATCTCTTTTGCAATGCCTCGCATTGACATTCGATGACGCCAAAGCGCCAAAATCATTCCTCGTTCCATGTCGCTGAGGATCGTTCCGTGGCCCATGATTTTAGGGTGAATGCGTCGCAAAAGTGTACTTAAGTAGGCCTAGAGGACTAGTTTAGTCTATGTGGAACAAATTTGCAGTGAAAACTACTTCCTAGGCGAAGATGTCAATGAGTTTCTATCCTTGTGGCGCGGCTGAAATGGTCGACTTTTTGAATGTGGCGCCATAAAATCCGCGCCAGGTCGCCTTTGGCGGCAAATCATACACCAAAATGACCGTCCAATCATAACGAATACAGCATGCCTTTCGGGTAACATGAAACTTCATTGGTAGACATTTTTCGATCAAAAATGATGCGTTTCTAACCATGTGGTGCGGACTTTAAACCATCACTGTTTCGCGCACGAAGTCTTGCGTGCTGCTCCATTTACCAGCACCGAGGTAGTTCTCCATACAGTTCTCTGCGTGCATTTGAGTCGCTGCAGCATGTCAGGCAACGGCCAAGAAACGCAGGTACGAAACCAATTCTTGAATAACTACTGCTTTGTTCTTGTAGTCGCTCGCAACCGCACAGCTTGTTGAACGCGGCACCAGCGATCGCAATCGTTGTCGAGCGCGGCAGCGTTGCAGAGTCCTTCGGGGGAGGTGCGTCGTCACGGTAGTTTTGACGCCGCGTTCGAACGAGCAAACTATAGAAAGCCAAAGTTCTTAAAGTTTGCTCGTATTAGCTGTGTCGAATTCGGAGGTAGGAACACAAGGAGTATATGTATAAGCCATAGGCCGCACAAATCATGTTCTTTTTGCAGTGGTGGGAGGAGTAGTTGTAAAAGAACGAGGACGACAGGTCAAGCATTGTGGCACCGTAGCGTCCTGTCACCGAATGTGAAGTGCGAACTGCTGAATATGGCTGAGTTTATGATTGCATTAGTTGCAGGTGTCACAAACGCGTCTTCCGCCGGGCACCCGTCCAAGGCGTTTGTCTCGCAAGACTGACCAAGCAAGATGAACGCAGATGGCAAATGTAGTGATCATACGGATCTTACTAATGATGTCGCGACGTATTGTGAGCGAGGTCGGTATGAGACGGCAGTTAGCCGCACCTGCACCCGCGACATGGCAGATAGCCGCACTCGCGACAAGGCATCTAGCCGCACCCGCACCCACGACACGGCCGCTTGAGTATTACAGAGTGATCTTCAGCTAGAAAGGTTTAACGATGACAATCGAATCACTTCCAAATTTCCTCTGCGCTATCAACTCCCTACAACAAGAGGGCACCTCCAGCAGACTCGGCATATCCAGGAATTTGGTGTCGTCCAGAAAATCGATGCATCACCTTGCTTGGATGACCTTGATCAAATACTTCAATTGAAATACTCGAGAGATTGAATTTGGGACAAGCAAAGAAGCTGTTGTTTGGTTGGCAGCCATTTTCCGACTTCGAATTACCTTGGCCAATTATCTTTCCTATTTTACGAGTTAGCAGTAAATATTTTAGTCGTTAGGCCCTGGTCTGGGAATCAAATGCTTCATGTCTGACAATTTGACAACCATTGGTTCAATTTCCGGAAATCCGGAAAACGTTCATGCTTGGGTTCTGGCTCACGAGACAGAGACTCTCCATCCACGCCTGGAACAATCATTCGTGTTTCCACTGGTGCCCCCGAACCAGCCTCTTCACCACCGACATGGAGGAGGCACAGAATAACGTTCAAGTTCATAGTTCAGGTGAAAGGAAAGTAGGAAGAACATCACAGTCTCATGACAGTACATAGAGTCTACTTCTGAGCCCACCGCAAGGTCCAAGCGCGCCAAGAAGCAAGCGCCACGCCAGACCCTTTGGTGCAACGAGAGCGTCGAA